GTCTTTGGATTTGAGACTTTAGTCTTTGCAACTTTACAGATCTTCTTTATGCACCAAGAGCTTGTAACACTTCAAAGGGAAAGGAAAACTTGAAATCGCATCATATGACCCCTTTAAAAAAACACTCGTTTAATCTTTATCTCCTCAGATCACAATGTTACGGAGCCCCTAATGGGACATGGTGGAGGAAAAAAAATTTGGGGTGGGAGGAAATTTTTTTTGCATTCTCTCGCAAAACTTTTGCGTTCCCTCGCAAAACTTTTGCGTTCAGCATATTATGCACAGGAAAGCAGACAAGCCCAGAATAACTATAAAGAAGCCAAAACATAATTTAAAACGAAACTGAAAGTATGGGCTCACGTACCGCTCTCATTCAGCACAAATCATTAAATTAACTGGGCTTTGTACATTCCTATATCAAAGGGAAAAAAATCATAATGAACAAAAATGTGCCGCACTGGAGTGGACCGGGGCTCACGCTGTACGGCACAGACTATAATACAGATTATTTAAATTGACTGTGTAACATTTTATCTGTATTGGTGATTCTATGTTTTATTTTAATAATGAACAGGCCGTTTGCAATGAATATGTGAGCATGAGGCGCCGGCGGGCTTTTTTGACAAAACGTGTTTAGGGTTCAGATCGCCCTATATATGGAGAATAATGCACGGCAATCTTTTTTTTTTTTTTTAAAGTGGCGTTTATCGGTTTTTGCAAATGAACTCTTCATATATGGGTTAACCATTAGCAACTGGGTTATCAACCAATACTGATAATCACAAACTACCAGTAAGTGATTGTTGTATTAATTGTTGTCTTTTGTTATGTTCTGTAGGTGTTTTGGCTGGCGACAGCACACCGATGGTTCTGGAAGCTGAAAGTGGAGCTCTGTGTCTGCTAGCTCTGGAATGCTTGGCTCATCTTTTTAGCTGGATCCCTCTCTCCTCTTCTATCACTCCAGCCCTCCTCGCTTCGATTTTTCATTTTGCACGCTTCGGATGCCAGCAGCTAATCAAAACGAAACCTCTGCCCACTTCCAATGGAGACTCCGCCCCCGGAAGCCTCCTGGCCAATGGCGGCAGCGGAGGCGGGGGACACGGCAGGACTGGTCAGATGGTGGGCCACGCCGAACGTGCCAAACTGGGCGTCATGGCCATGAACTGTATTAATGAGTTAATGTGCAAAAACTGCGTCCCGGTGGACTTTGAGGAATTTCTGCTCCGCATGTTTCAACAGACTTTCTATCTGCTGCAAAGACTCACAAACACACATTCGCACACCAACACGCACACTATCAAAAGCAGATTGCAAGAATTAGACGAAAGGTAAGAAATGGATGCACTTGCTTTAAACTTCTAACTCATTGATGCTGCTGCTTTTTAACCCTTTTTCTGCCTGTCTGTCCCTCTCAGCTATATGGAAAAGTTCACCGATTTCCTCAGGCTGTTTGTTAGTGTTCATCTGCGGAGGATTGAATCTAACGCCCAGTTTCCTCTAGTGGAATTTCTAGCTTTGCTCTTCAAATACACCTTTAACCAGGTAAAAACACCTTCATTTAGCTAATGTTCCAGGAAGCACTGACTCTAACTTACAATATTAATGTCTAATGATATTTCCATTAATATCATGAACTTTTTTTACTCGAACCTTCCCTGTTCTTCTCATTTTTTATGCTATCACCCTTCTTTTTTTGTTTTCAAACCTGTGAAAACACCTGGTTTATTTTTATCGATGTTTTCCCGGTCATAGTTGAATGTTTGTTGAAAGTGTCTGGACTTGAAGGTGCTTCCTTTTTACTCTTCTCAGTGGCTTTGTCAGTATTCAACCACAGGATATGCATTATAGTGACTAATATTGGTGTCATGAATTGAGATACAGTTGTGCTCACAAGTTTACATGCCTCTTGCAGAAAATACAAGATGGTAATAATTAGGGATGTAACGATTCACTCAACTCGATTCGATTCACGATTTTGGTTTCACGATTCGATTTGATTCACGATTTTTTTTTTGTACAAAATGAGATTTAAGACAAATTATAAATTAAATGTGTCCTTTTATTATTGCTTGGACAAAATGCTGCACATTTCTTTGTGAAATTGAAATATAACACTATAATAATATACTAATATAGCACTTGCATATTATTGCTCTTTTGTTGGTTTTGATTGCTTCTGTTGTTCTCATTTATTAAGTCGCTTTGGATAAACGCGTCTGCTAAATGACTAAATTGAAATATAATGTAAATGTAAATAACAAAACTAAATTGACATTTTAAAACAAGCTCCAAATTAAATAAATAAGTAACACAAATAAAAGAAATCTCTTCATATAAACAAAATAAGGCTTTGTCTGTGCTCTTTCCATTTAAAATGGCGCTTAAAGCGTTTCCTTGGTTTCCGCTGTAAACAAAGCAGCGCTGCACTTATGAACTTTAATATGCATTATACAGAGGTAAGAGGAAAATAAAAAATACCATCTAAACTTTTCTAAAGACAGTAAGTTCCCCTCAGACATACATTCATATAAACTCCTACCCCTAAATTAATCGCGATTTGTTTAGCATCTCAACCGATTTAAATAGTCACATATTTGAATCGATTTTCAACCGGCTCGCGGTTAATCGTTGCATCCCTAGTAATAATAGCAAAATAAGAGGGATCATGAAAATTGCATGTTTTTTTATTTTTATTTAGTACTGTCCTGCATAAGCGGTTTCACGTGATAGTTTACATATACCGTAGAGTCCACAACAAGGTTTTTCTAGTTAACTAAAACCATAAAAAAGTTACTTGAAATACAATTTTAAAAAACCTTAAAGGGATAGTTCACCCAAAAATGAAAATTCTGTCATTAATTACTCACCCTCATGATGACACATGGACTATTTTAACGATGTCCTTACTACGTTTCTGGGCCATAAAACATTTCAGTTGCGTTGCTGTCTATGCAGAGTCAGAAAGCTCTCGGATTTCATCAAAAATATCTTAATTTGTGTTCTGAAGATGAACTGTTCTGAAGGTCTTACAGGTTTGGAACGACATGAGGGTGAGTAATTAATGACAGAATTTTCATTTTTGGGTGAACTATCCCTTTAAATACATTTTATTTCAGCTAGTTGCCAAAGCAACACTTCTCATTTTGATTTAGTTCAAATTGCTGCACTAAAAGAATGAACCAAAACAAAAATTAATAAAAACTATAGACATATTTAAAAAAAAAAAAAAAAAAAAAATAAAAA